ATCTCACAGGCTCCATGTGAGGGGATTGGATAGGGATGACCCTTAGCAAGAGAGCAGCTATACCCTTTTGCTGCTATCTGGACCATCATGTCCAGCTTGTAGCTCTCCCAGACAGCTTCCTGGGGAAGGAGTGAATCAGCTAATATTCAATTTTTGAAATCTCCATCTGTGCCCAAGGCATCACTTTGTGTCAGCCTCTGAGACACTGGCCTTTGTCGAACATACCTGGATCTCTGGGTTCCCAGATATGGATAATCTTGAATAAGAATGGCTTATCTTTCCTCTAGTCAAGTACCTTTGGTCTTGAAGATGGCTGTCTAGAGAGATTGAGTGACCTACCCAAGGTCACACTGTAAACCAATGGAGGAAATAATAAAAATAAAAGTACAAATAACGATAGTTACCTTTATTGAGTATTTACCATATGTCAGGTACAGTGCTAAGGGATTTATATGCTTTACTCTGTTAACCATCATATCATTGCTACCTTTATGATGGCTCTAATATTATCCCCATTTTACAGATGAGAAAATAGGTTAAAAGAGGTAATCACCTGCCCAAGTACACACAAATTGTAAGTGAGAGGAAAGGGATTTGAGCCCAGATAGTCTTATGACAGAGTCCACACCAAAAACTACTTTGATCCAGGGAGTTTGTGAGTGGCAAGAAAGGAAAACTAACTTCTTTGGCTGGGCAGGGCCCTGGGGGAGAAGGATAGAAAACACTCTGACTCCTTCTCCCATTTTCCATTCTTTTTCTGGAAGGTAATTGCTTGGGGCAGTGACAACCTCCTGGCGAATTACACAGCTGGTTTCCCAGTGAGATTTGTAACAACAACCCCGCCAGCCTGGCAGCCCCCAGCAAGTTCCGGTTTAAGAAACTAATTGTTGGATTGTGTAGTTGGTGCTAAATTGGGTAATTTCTTGGTGACGGCATCTGTGCCACTTCTTCCATTCCCAGATAGATTTGAGCTGCATCAGAAAGGAATTTGTCACACATGGCACCCTCCCAGACTCCTTCGCTCCCTACTTCCCAGCCAGCCACAGGCAATTGCAAAGGTGGCTGCTTCCTTCAGCCCAGAGGTTCACCATCTGGGTAGCTCTCTGTGTCCTGGGATAGTAGATAGATGAGTTGGTGCTACAAAAGGGAGAAAATAACACCATCACCCAGAGTTGTCTTAGGGCTTAAGGAAATGTTCTTTATTTTGTACTAATCTAACCTTGGACTTGGTATAAACTCAGTGCTTACCTCACAGGGGAAAAGGCTAAACCACACTCTGCTTAGCTCTGGAGGGTGTGGTATATATGAGATATTTTTATTTTTTTGTTTCCTTTTTTTAAAAAAAAACAAACAGATTCACTTTCATTACTATGTTTAATTCAGAATAGAACTTAGTAAGTTTGACTTCTCTGGCCTGGCAGCACTGGTAGGAGAAAAGCTAAGGCTTTGGAGCCAGCTAACACTAGATCTGGCTTCTGGCTTTGACATCAGCTCTCAGTGTGACCTTGGGCAGGTCATTTAGCCTTCCAAGTCTCAGTTTCTTCTTCTGTAAAATGGTGGGGGGTGTATAATTTCTACCCCTTGGAATAGTTGTGGGAATCACATAAAATGTCATAGGTGAATGGATCTTGTACTTTGTAGGTTCACTTTCACCCACTAACACCTGCCATATGTTAAGCATTGTTCTAGGGGCCTAGGAGAAAGCAGTGAATAAGACGGATAAGATTCCTGCACTTACGTGGAGCTTACATTCTAGTGGAAGAGACAGACAATCTCGGAGTCACACAGAATTAAAATGGTAACGCTATAAGAGACAGGTACATGGTGCCTTGAGAGCGAACAGCAGGGGGATCTGACCTAGTCAGGGAGGCCAGAGAAAGCTTCCCTGAGGAAGCAACAACTGGGCTGAGATCTGAAGGGTGTGTAGGAGTTAGCAAGGCAGAGGTGGATGGGAAAAGGTTTCCCGACAGGGAGAATAGGCCCCATGATGCGAGGGATCATGGGACTGACAAAAGACTGGCCTGGCTGCAGCAGAGAAAACAAGGGAGCTTGTTGTGAGAGGATGTTGGAAAAGTAGGAAGGGCCAGACCCTGCAGGCCTTGTTAGACCAGCTAAGGCATTTTATCCTAAGAACATCAATAAACCAATGAAGAGTTTTAAGCAGAGAAGTGACATGATCAGATTTGCATTTCCAAATGATCATTTGGATCAGAGCAGGATAAGAACGGAAGCAGGGAGACCAGTTAGGAGACATGCAGGCAGGAGATGATGTTCTGAGGGACAGTTGGATTCATTAGTGGTGCTTTCTGCTGCAATTACTACAGAAAATCTGGCCAACAGTGGCTTAAATTGTTTATTCCTTATCACGTGTAGGCCTGGAGAAAGGCAACTGCTTGTGTTGGTTCCATGGCTCGATGACACCAAGACTGACATCTCTGTCATTCTCTAGGCCTTTCTCTCGTGGTAGCAAGACACATGCTCTAGCTCTGGCCAAAAAAGAAGGGGAAGAAGGATGGCATTAGCAAGACCCCTCCCGTTGGTCGCAAGGGCAAAATCTTTCCCAGAAACTCTCATCATATTTTCATGTATATGTTATTAGCCAAAACTGAATCATGTGACCTCAGCTACAGGGGAGACTGGGAGAGGTTACCAGGGAATGCCTTTGAGCAGGTCAGCCAACAGTGATTTGGTGGGTATGGAAATGAATGGGTGCATCTATTTTTTAGGAAGCAAAATCCACAGGACATGATGATGGATTGAATTATCAGTCCCCTCCTTACTTGTTTTTTCTTCCCATTGATTATGTTTAGTAATGGGATGGGGGCAAGGGGTGGAGGAGTGTGATGTGGAGGATGAAGTCAGTTACTAATTAAATTTTTTTTTTACAAAATCCATAAATTGGATATATCCTGTCCCCAGTAATTTGATTATTTTGTTTACTATTTGAACAGTGTGGATTTTGGAAATTCAAAAGAAAAACTTCACATGAGGGATTACATTATGTAATCTTTTAGAGGTTGTAAAAGTGGTTTCATATGCATTGTATTGTTTGATATCCATTAAAGTCCTGGGAGATACGTGAGCAGATATCATCTGTTCTGGTTTTGGGGCCTGTGCTTTTTTCTGCCATTAGACAGTACTGCTCTACAGGACCAGGGTAAAGGATCTGGGGGGTGGTCTGTCTGGAGAGAAGCAATTACAGGGACCCATCTCCTCTGAGACTAGGGCCAGAAGAACATGGACTGATGCCAGAGAGACTGAAGTTTGTTAAAATCTTGATGAAACTTCAGCAGTGTGGCAGCAGCTCCCATGTGAAGCAATGGTTGGAGGGGCACCTGGGAGTGTCTACCACTGGGGTGTTTGGTGAGGCTGCAGCTCGATGTACATGACCACAAACAAAGCAAATGGGATGGTCTGGCCTTCTGCCTTTTGTATCATGAGTCTCAGACACAGGTCATGACTGGAGCAGGAAGAGGAGAAGCATGCTATGGATGAAGTACCAGGCCATCAGAGCATCTTTCCAAGGTGGAGAGATGCTTCCAGGTGCTTTCCCAACAACTGCTTGAGAGGCTATCTTGGTCTGAAGTTCTCTCTGATTCCTCAGAAAAGGGCAATGGAGGAGAATTGTCATCCAGAGTCAGGTAGTTGATATCTGTGAAATCACCTCAGTCTCTGCCAGGTAAGACAACCAACAGCTTCTCCAGTCCAGGGCCCAGGCTGGGCATGGAAGATTCTCCAGAGACTCCACAGTCTTCTTCATTGTCTCACATCCTTCAGGGTCAGGAAGTTCTTCCTGATGTCTGACTGTGTCTCTTCCACTACTATTAATCATGCGGGCAAAACTAGCTCTTCTTCCTGACATCCCTGTGTCTAATAATGGCATCATTAGTCTTCCAGTCACGGCTGCTGCAAACTTCAGTGTCGTCTTCCTTTCTGACTCTCTTCTCTTCCCACTATTTGCCCAACCCTAAGTATCTGTGGGAATTCTTCCAGCCCACTCCTCAAAATTCCTTATTTGCACACCTCTTCTGCCTTGTGTTTGCTGTGTCCTTTGTTGGGAAGGTTCTCTTCCCCACCACCTTTATTTGGGGGAACACACAGCCATCTTGTACTCCTCAAACACCCTCTTCTCTCAGAAGTCTTCCTTGATTTCTCTTTATTGAATCTGGTCTCAACCTCATCTGAACTAGGCTAACATTTTGGTACCTCTTTCCAGCACAGTCATTGATTCATCTGCTTAGTGAATATTTATCAAGGAGCAGCTCCGGATGAAGTACTGAGTTAGGTGCCAGAGATCTAGAGATGGATAGGACTCGGTTATTATTCTGCAGAAGACCACATTCTAGTTGGGGGAGACAAACTGAAACAGACAATTTCAATACAGCGAGATAAGTGCTTTCATGGGGACACCCGGGGTGTTATAAAAGCCCAATAGAGAGGCGTAACCCAGAATAAGAGGACAGAGAGTCTTCAAGGGAAGGTGGGGCTTAATATGAGTAAATGTTGGCCAGGGAGAGAGTTTGAGGTGGATGAAAGGAGATTCTAGAAGGAGGAAATAACTTGTGCAAAATAACTCTGTCATGTGAGAGGTTGTCCCCCTATTAGACTATAAACCCCTCAAGGACAGGGATCACACTTAAATCATTTCTGTACACTTCTCACTCAGAGTCTTGCTTATGGTAGCTGCTCAACAAATGTTTGTGGAAAGGAATCATATTTGAGGGCAATGAAAATGCAGTGGCTCAGCACCATGGACAGATCACACAGACACCTGCAGTTGGAGGTAGTCCAACCTGTAAGCTCATTTGCATGTATTTGCATAATGAAGCTAACTTCATTTCCCTGGGGGTCCAAAGGCTCTGCATCATGGGGGATCCAATCAGTCCTAGTTTGGGGGACTGGGAAGGGAAACTGTCAGGGCCAGAGACCTGTCCTCTGAGGGCTCTGGGAGAACCTCTTTCTGCCTCTGCTTACCTTACCATCCTTTTCTTTTTCATCAGGAGCCAGTGGTCCTGAGCCTTCTGAAGTTAGGATTCTGCCTGGCGGCGGGGATCCTGACATCAAGGATGGGACACCCCAGCTGGTGAGTGACAGGGAGTCTGGGAGACGGGGATTAGACTCAGGTTCTCAAGTCAGAATAACTTGGGATTGAATCTTGATTCAAAGTGACTCATCCACTTACTGGCTTTGTGACCTCACCATTTGGAGCTCAATTTTCTCATGGGTAAGTGTGGATAATATCTACATTACAGGATTTCAGTGAAATTAGAGAATATTAGGTATGCACAGTACTTGGTACATAGCAAGTGCTCGGAGATGAACAGAGAGCAGGATCTGGAAGAAGCCTGAAACAGGGTGAGTGTGAGGAGGTGGTAGGGGGGCAGGGAGAATGAGTCTCGGAGGTGCTGCTGTCTGGAGTCTTTGAGGCTGTCATCCCCTCCTAGTCAGCAGATGGCCCAGGAGCCTGGTCGGGGATGAGGGAGGGCTCCGTCTGCCAGCTTCTCTGTCCCTGTCCCTCCTGCTGTCACCCCCTCCTGCCATAGCTCCTGTCCTGGCAGCTCCTGGAGTCCTGATTGGAGGCAGCTCTTGCTGAGAGCTGACCTCTCTGTCCTGTAGCCTTGGCTAGCCTGGGATGGGGGCCAGGAGCTTTTCCCCCATCACTCTCTTGTCTTGCCAGCCCACTGTTCCTGGGAGGAAGAACTCCTGGGTTCCAGTCTCAGTTTACGATTCAGATGCTACCTTGTATAGCCACTGTTCCTCCTCTTCGTGGGTTTTCCTTGCTCCATGACTCCCCTCCAGTGGAATGGGAGTGGTAGGTCAAAGGCAAAGGGGAAGATCTAACCCAGATGAGGAAGGAGGAGGAGTTGTCTCACGTTTCCCTTCTTATCAGTGTCCGGAAGGGAGGGAGAATGAGCCTGTAGCCAGATGGAAAGAACAGGGTGTGGAAGGGAGAGGAGGGATTTTTGTGCAGAATGGTGCTGAATATGTAGATTCGAGTCCAGTACTCTTGTAGGTCCCAGCGGCTGGGAGCTGTGACCCTCAGGCCTGGGCCTTGCAGCAGTGGGGTGTGGGGTAGGGTTGGGGCAGAGGTGTAGCTGTGGATCGATTTGCCTAAAGCCAGCTTGTTATAAGCTAGTTCACCTAATGACTGGTTTCTCTGAATATTTTGTATGCCTGCTTAGGTATCCTTTTGTTTTCAGTAATCTCAACATCTTTAAAAGCCCATTTGGCTGAGGGAATTTCCTCTTGTGAATAAGCACTTATTAGATTTGCAGCATTTGATGAAGGGTGGGATTATTTTGTGCCCTTGTGAGTGTCTTTGTCTGTTATGACTGTTTTAAGGACTTTTTAGCCCATCTGTGGAAAGGTAGTACAATTAATCACAATAAATTGATATGCATTACCCAACAGGATACAAGAAAACTGTAGTAAAGATGGTTTTAGGTAAAGTGGTCTGTTGTTCCAACCGAATCCCTTTTCTCCCTATTTTTCTAGGAGGTTCCTGGGGCCTGGCCCCCAACACTATGAGGAGTCTTTGCTGAGGCCATGAGGGGTTACCATGGCGACCGAGGCAGCCATCCCCGCCCAGCCCGCTTTGCTGACCAACAGCATATGGACGTGGGCCCAGCTGCCAGGGCCCCGTACCTGCTGGGCTCCAGGGAGGCCTTCTCCACTGAGCCCCGCTTCTGTGCCCCGAGAGCCGGCCTGGGGCACCTTTCTCCTGAAGGACCCCAGAGCCTGAGTGAGGGGCCATCGGTAGGCCCTGAGGGAGGGCCAGGGGGGCCTGGGGTTGGGGGGGGCAGCAGCACCTTCCCCAGGATGTACCCTGGCCAGGGTCCTTTTGACACCTGTGAAGACTGTGTGGGCCACCCACAGGGCAAGGGTGCCCCCCGCCTGCCTCCTACCCTCCTGGATCAGTTTGAGAAGCAGTTGCCAGTTCAGCAAGATGGCTTCCACACGCTGCCATACCAGCGAGGGCCAGCAGGGGCGGGGCCTGGGCCAGGGCCGGGGTCTGGCGCTGCCCCTGAGCCCCGCAGCGAGAGTCCCAGCCGCATCCGGCACTTGGTTCACTCTGTGCAGAAGCTCTTCGCCAAGTCCCACTCTCTGGAGGCTCCGGGGAAGCGGGACTACAATGGGCCGAAGGCTGAGGGAAGAGGTGGCTCTGGAGACAGCTATCCTGGCCCGGGCTCTGGAGGCCCCCACTCCTCCCACCACCACCACCACCATCACCATCACCACCACCACCAGTCCCGGCACGGCAAGAGGAGCAAGAGCAAGGACCGCAAGGGAGATGGGCGGCACCAGGCTAAGTCCACGGGCTGGTGGAGCTCCGATGACAACTTGGACAGTGATAGCGGCTTCCTGGCGGGTGGGAGGCCCCCTGGGGATCCTGGTGGTCCCTTCTGTCTGGAGGCTCCAGATGGGTCCTACCGAGACTTGAGCTTCAAGGGGCGCTCGGGGGGGTCAGAAGGTCGCTGCCTTGCCTGCACTGGCATGTCCATGTCACTGGATGGACAGTCGGTCAAGCGAAGTGCCTGGCATACCATGATGGTCAGCCAGGGCCGGGATGGATACCCAGGGGCTGGGCCAGGCAAGGGGCTCCTGGGTCCGGAGGCCAAGGCCAAAGCCAGGACTTATCACTATCTGCAGGTGAGGCTTTGGTTGGGGTGGGGAACAGGGTCCTCAGCCTTCACCAGTCTTGTCAGCCAGGGGGAAGTGGAAAGGGGGTTGGATGGGAGCCAGCTGTCCCTGTGATGGAGTGCCTGGGTGCAGGGAGGCTCTACCCTGCAACAGTGTGTTACCTTGATCTCCTTTTGGACCCTCGGTTTCCCCATGTGTGTAATGAAGGGCCTTTTATTCTGAGGATTTATGTCAGTGCCAGAAAGACCTCTCCTTGACCTACTGTTTTGGACAAGCTGTGCTGGTCTCTGTCTTATGAGGTTGGAGGTAGAATGAAGTTGACAGGACAGTGCAGTGCTCCCTAGCTATAGCTGCCTTCAAGATAGGAGGTCAGCAATTCAAAAGCAGTTCTCCTGCCCCAAGGCCTTCTCCAGACCTCTTCTCTGCTCAAATCTGGGTGGTCCAGATGTTGTTTGACTATGGAGGTCCGTTTTTTCAGAATGCGTCTCTGCTAGGATTTGTCATTCTGGGGCACCTGCAGTGAGACAGCCCGGGAGGCTGGGGAGGAGTCCTGGGAGCCTGTCTCATGGGTTTTCCTGGGCTGGGGGACACATTGTAGGTGATTGCTGGCATGCTGTTCGCATCTTGTCTTACCACTTCTGTGGTTTCTGCAAGTGAGGTTAGGAGCTCTGATCCTGATTTCTTTCTTTTTTGAATTGGAGTCTCACTCTGTCACCCAGGCTGGAGTGCAGTGGCATGCTCATGGCCACCACAGCCTCGACTTGCTGGGCTCAGGTGATCCTTCCACTTCAGCCTTCCAAGTAGCTGGAACTACAGACATGCACCCCCATGCCCAGCTAATTTTTGGATTTATTGTAGAGCTCACCAAGTTGCCCAGGCTGGTCTTGAACCCGTGGGCTCAGGCAGTCCTCTTGCCTTGGCCTCCCAAAGTTCTGGGATTACAGGCATGAGTGCCTGGCCTCTGATTCCTATTTCTATGGTGCCATCATCCTAGCCTCATCAAACCTTGCCAAACATTGTTTTCTTGAGCTCTGCTATAGTTTCAGGAGAAAAAGTCCATACAAGTTCTGGAGGCCCAGCAAGTTTAGGGTTATCCTCCAAACCCACACTCTACATAGTTAATACACATTTATTTATTTGATGAATATTTTGTGGGTGCTGTGGTTATAAAGATCAAGATACAGATGCTGCTAGTGGGGAGCTCACAGTTTTGAGGCAGGGGAGACAAGGAAGCAGATAGAATGTAGTGTGATGAGGCTGTGGTAGGAGAGAGCCCTGGACACTGTGGCGACATGGAGGAGGCATCTCATCCACCTGGGGTGGTGGTGACCAGAGGTGGCTTGGAACAGCTTTTAGGAGGAAAGTCCCCTAGGCAGAATCTCAGTGGAGGAGTCGAAACTTGTTGGAAAAGGTGTTCAGGAAGCAACTACAGCAAGTTCAAAGGTATGGAGGATCAAGACTGCATGTGTCTTTTGGGTGTTGTTGGCTTTCCAGGATAAGTCATGCACAAATTAGGGTTCTCTTGGAGAACTCATGAAAGCCCAAGGGAACAAATATAGCCACAATGGAAGCAGGAAGGGACTTCTGGAATTCAGGACTTGTGGACCTGTCTTGGATTGTCCCCTCCCTGGGTAGGGAGGTGCTCTAAGCTGGGAATTGAAGGATCCTGGGAGGGAACACCCACCTTTCCTCCCCCATAACTGAGCCTTTGCCATCCCTGAAGACTTGCTGCATTTCTGTGCTCCCTGCTGCTTCTCCAGGGCTGCCCTGACCTCCCTGGGGGCTTCCTTTTTAATATGCACCTCACAATGTCCTGCAGAGGAGGGAGGAGCTCTGCAGTGGCTACAGAGTGGGAGCCCTGCAGTGTGGCAGAGCATGCCCTGGCTGTCCCATCTGTTGGCCTGCCTCTCTGCACCTGCCTGCTGTTCCTCTCTGTGGAGTATGAGGGAAGGAGAATGACCCCTCAGTGTCCAGGGTTCCAGGACATCTTAGGTCTGGAAAATCTGAACCCATGTAGGGGAGAACCAAGGGGCTGCAGGGACCCTCCAGACAGCCTCGTGCTCCCCCGGCACAAATGCAGAGATGCTGGCCCTGTGCGACTGGGTGTCTTTGTTGGGCTCCCAATCCCATTGTTGAAACCTTGGTTCTCCCACTGGACACCAGCCCTCTCTTAACCTCTTCCAAAAGCCATCTTTCCACTCTGAGCCCTTTTTTTTCTATTTGTTTATTTTTATTTTTTGTAGAGACAGGGTCTTGCTATGTTGCCCAGGCTGGGCTTGAACTCCTGGCTTTAAGCGATCTTACTACCTCAGCCTCCCGATGTGCTGGATTTAAAGGCATGAATCACCGCATGTGGCCTGTTTTTTCTTCATGGAACCTTGCCTCTCTGTGTTTTTCTCTTCCTGTTGAGCCCCAGCCCCTCACTGAGCCCTGTTCCACCCTGTGAGCCCCATCTCATCCCTGAGTCCCTGTTCTCACACTGATCTCTGGCCCTTCTACTAACTTCGCCTCAGAGTCTCCATCCCTCCCCCAACCCTATGCTTTCCCTGAAGCTTGACACCTCTTGGAGCTCCTATTCCCACCCCATTCAACCTGTTCTCAACAAGTATTTTAAATCCTCCAGCCTGCCCCAGCCCTCTCCCCCATGCCTTTGCTTACACCTTGTTCTTCATGGTGTAGGCTGATATTATGGACTCCCTCAGCTTCCTGTCAGCACCCCCCAGTATCATCCAGAGCCCCAGCCACCTTTATCCCCTTCCCTGGCTCATCACCCATCCCAGGCTGATCCCTCCACCAGGGCTTGACACTTCTGTTCTTGATCTGCCCCCACCCCCATGTTTAAAGATGGTCTTTACTCTTCCCCTCATCCTGAAATCGTTCCTGAAGTTGCTTTCATCCTAAAAAATCTTTCCTCAACCCCATTCTCTCATTCCATGTCCCATCATCCCTTCATATCCAGGTTCTTAGAGCACAGAGGCCTCTTCACTTCCCTTTAATTCTCTCCTTACTGTGGTCTGATAGCCACACCCCCTGTCATTGAAATGCCCTAGCAGAGGCCACCAGTGGTCTCTTGAGAGCTATCCTCAAAAGGTACCTTCCAGTGCTTATAATAATTGTTAACATTTATTAAGTACATTCTGTGTCCTGGGAACTCTCTATTGGCTCATTTATCTTTCCCACCAATCCTCTGATGCAGGCATAATTATCATTACCAATCCACAGACAAGGAAACTGATGCTTAGAGGTTAATCCGTTTTGCTCAAGTTCACCTAGCTAGCAAGCATCGGGGCCAGATTCTGCACATGGATCTTCTAACTCCTGAGCCTGAGTTACTAACCTCTAAACGCACTGTGGCATTTGACATAATCGACTCCTTTTATTCTTGAAATGTCTCCTGTTTCTATGACATGGCATTTTCCTGATTTCCCTCCTACCCCTCTGCCCACTCCTTCTCAGGTGACTTCACAGGCTTCTCTTCCTTTCATTGCAGTCCCTTTCTAAATGTCAGTGGATCTCTCCTCAGCTCTCTTCTTCTTTCCCCTGGGGTGTCTCATTCATTCCCATGGATTTTGCTGCCACCCATGATTCCCACATGTCTGCCTCCAGCCCCGATCTTCCCACTGAACCCCAGAACCAAACACCCAACCACCTGCTCAGCAGTTCTGTGCCAAACTCAAGGTGCTCAACCCTGAACCCATTACCTTTTCCCAAACCTGTTTCTCTGGGGTTCTATGGCTCAGTGAGCCACAGCATCATCTCCCAGGTCCTCAGCCAGCAGCCTGGCAGTCATCCTCGACTCCTTCCGCCCCCTCATCCCCCACGTCTAATCAGGCTCACTGATGCTCCTTAACACCTCTCATTTCCATCTCCTCCTCTTCCCCCTCATTGTCATTGTCTTAATTTAGGCCTCATCATCTCTTGCCTGAACAGCATCAGCCTCCTAATTGGTCTTCCTCTCGCCACTTGAGCCTCTGCCCTGCTCCTGGCCTTCCACAATCCTGCCTCTGTTTGGACCGGGAGTGCTCTTTCTGCAACACAAATCTGATATCGCTCCCTGGCATAAACCCCTCTGTGGCTCCTCGCAGAGGGAAGGAGGAGAGGATTTGACATGCAAGCGGGTTAAAAGGAGAAGGAGACGGAGGAGACTGAGGTCAGAATTGCTTCATTGCTGGGGGTGGGATCCACACAGGTCACTTTGGCCTCTGATCTTCAACTCTTGGTATGCCACTCCCTCAGACTCTCTAGGTGGCCCTCGATTAAGCGGCAAAAGGTAGAGGATGATGAGGCATTCTTCTAAGGGAGGGGGACAGCCTGAGACCCTACCTCCCCTTCCGCCTCTGCATGCTCCTGAGGGTGGCCGGCTTGAGCCATGGCAGAGTGCCTCCCACTGGCAGTGGGGAAAGACCCTGGCCTCTGGAATCACTAAGGCTGTGTCTAAGAGACATAGGCTGCTGTCCCTGCAGGTGCCGCAAGATGACTGGGGGGGTTACCCCACTGGTGGCAAGGATGGGGAGATCCCCTGCCGTAGGATGCGAAGCGGCAGCTACATCAAAGCCATGGGGGATGAGGAGAGTGGAGACTCAGACGGCAGCCCCAAGACATCTCCCAAAGCAGTGGCCCGACGCTTCACTTCCCGCCGCTCCTCCAGCGTGGACCAGGCTAGGATCAAGTAAGGACCTGGAAGGCTGAGAGGCGTGGGTCGGAGTGGGGAGGCTGATACTGGGTTCCTGCAAGGAATATGTGCAGTGTGGATACCAGTTGGGTGGCCCTGCTCAGAGTTCAACTGGAGCTTCTCACTTTGCCCCCATATAAAGGGGAGTTCCCTGATATCGTCCCTTCCTGAGTGCTTCTTTGAGCAAGGGTTTCTATCTAGAGTCTCCAGGAGAATCTCTGAGGGTTCTGGGGAACAGAACCTGCTCGGGGGCCCCAGTGCTGTCATCCTCCTACCCCCACCTCCTAGCAGTTCGCTGTTCTGACTCTGGGATTTTGACCTTTTCCAGCTGCTGTGTCCCTCCCCGGATCCACCCCCGGAGCTCCATCCCTGGCTATACCCGTTCCCTCACCACCGGACAGGTAGGGAGAGAAACTCAGGATACCAGGAGGAAAGGGTGGGACAGAGGATTCAGTCCTGTGTTCAGCTAAGCCCTTAAAATCAAAGGATCTGCCCATGGGGAGAACTCGGGTCTGGTTTGGGGGAAACTGGGAAAACTGCCTTGAGACTCCTTTAAGTCTGAAGACTGAGGATCTCAGAGAATTATTATTATTATTTTTTTGAGTTGGAGTCTCACTCTGTCACCCAGGCTGGAGTGCAGTGGCATGCTCAACCTGCTGGGCTCAGGCGATCCTTCCGCCTTGGCCTTCCAAGTAGCTGGAACTACAGGCACATGCCACCGCGCCCGGCTGATTTTTTTATTTATTGTAGAGATGAGGGCTCACCATGTTGCCTAGGCTTGTCTCAAACCCATGGGCCCAGGCAATCCTCTCACCTCAACCTCCCAAAGCGCTAGGATTATTATAGGCACGAGCCACTGCACCCAGCCTAGAATCGCGTTCTTAAAACCCACCAGGCCATTGTCTTACTAGACTCTGGTGTGGCCATGTGCTCTTTGAGCTGTGACCTGTACCATGTTTCACTCTCTCTAGTTTACTTTCTAAATAAACTATATTTTCTAATCTAAAAGACAAAACAAACAAACAAACCCCACCACATGTCCTCGAAGTGACGAGCTTGTAAGGGCAACACTAGTTCTCTGCAGTTCCCTAGTTCTCTTCAGGTCTGATTGCTCTCACCGCACCCCCATGTAGGAGGTAGGATTGATTTGTACAGACAGAGCATAGGTCAAGCTGCAGTCTTAGAGATGATATGGGCCTGAGTTCATCCCCCTCTGTCCCATGAGACCACCAGCAAGATACTTCACCTCTCAACGCCTCCATTTCTCATCTTTAAAGTGACAATAGTAGCGATAGTTATTTCACAGGAATTTTGTGAGTTCACTGAGAAAATATGCAAATACAAGGTACTTGGTCCAAAATTGGTATTTTATAAATGTGAGTTCCATACCTAAGTGTAAACTTTCCCTTTAATTAAATGGAGGCAGTGCAGTTTAGTAGTTAAATGCATGAGATGGGTTTGAATTCCAGCTCAGCTACTTACTAGCTGAGTGACCTAGGGCAAGTTACTTGACTTTTTTTGAGCCCCACTTTCCCTATTTAAAAATAGGCATCATAATAGTGTTCTTGGCACACAGCCAGCATTCAGTAAAGGTTAGCTATTTTTACTGTATGCTGGGGGGGTGGAGAACGCAATACAAAAGACTGTCCACATTGGCTCCCGTTGTTTGCTGCTGCAGTCTCTCAGTATTCCTTTGTTACATCTCCTGGACCAGAGAATCTGATTGGCAAAGCTCTCTTTTCAATCAGACCAACCTGTGTTGCTGAACCCACATGTCAATGCTCAGTCCTCAGTTTACTTGTCCCATCAGCAACATCTTAACACGGTTGATGACTCTCTCCTTCCTGAAACATTTTATTCTGTTGGCTTTGAGGACACTACACCATCTAGATTCTCCTAGATTTTCTCCCTGGCTACTTGTCCTCAGTCTGTGTCTCAAGTGCCTCTACAACTCCCCAGAATCTAAGCACTGAAGTTGTCCAGGACTCAGTCTCGACACCTGCTCCTTAGGTGATCTCATCCAGGCTCATGGCTATGAATATTACTGAAAGACTTATGACTCCCAAATGTGTATTTCCAGCCCAAATCTTCCTATCTATGCCAGGTATGTATATCTAACTGTGTACTGAAATCTCACGTGGATGTCTAGTAGATCTTAAGATACTCAAACTAAACTGCTGATATTCACCCCCCCCAAATTGCTACTCCATCCACTGACTTCTCCATTTCAGATAATGGCATCTTTATCCTTCCAGGAACTCTAGTCTTGCTTCTGAAATGGAGAAGTCAGTCTTGACTTCTCTCTCTCTCTCACAACCCACACCCAATCCTTCAGTAAATCCTGTTGGTCCCGCCTTCAAAACATATCCAGGATCCAACCTGGATCCAACCAACCTCCACAGCCAGCAGTCCAGTAGAGTCACCATGTCCTTTTGTCTGGACTACAGCACTGTCTTCTACTTGCTCCCTTGTATTTGTCTTTGCTTCACTGTGTCCTCACATCGCTGCCAGAGTGATCATTAAAAATATAATCACATTCACTCACTCTTCTGCTCAAAACCCACACCTTGCTCAGAGTAGACGTCAAGGACTTTACTATGACTTGCAAGACCTTGTGAGACCTGACAGGAGCGACCTCTGAGTTCCTCTCCTAACACCGCTCCCCTTCCTCCCACTCCAGCCACGTTAGACCCTTGCTGCCCCTCAGATACTACAGGTGTATGCCAGCCTCAGGGCCTTGGCATTTGCCACTACCCTTGCCTGGATGTCTCCTGTCTAGACACTCCTATGAATCATATCCTTGCTTCTTTCTTACCTTTTTCTAATATTCTAAAATTTTAATTTAATTCCCCTCCCAACATTCCCTATTTTTCTTCCCTGTGTTGCCAACATTCATCTTTATCATCGTTTTCTCCTTCTTCCTCCTCTTCTTTCTTCTTAACACTTTATACTATTTAAGATCACATATACTTGACATATTTAGCCTGGAGGTATGGCTTATTATTTCTGCTTTAGAGGAGAGATGTCATCCTATTATCTCTAATAATGCTTTTTTCCCCCTTAAGTTGATTTTTGTTGTTGTTTAGTATTTGTCTAGAACTTCTTTTTCCATCTTTTACCTTAAACCTTTTTGTCTATGTTTCAGGTATATCTTTTTGTGAATAGTTTATCACTAGAATTTATCTTATATCCATTCTGATAATTGCTTGATAATTTAGTACATTTATATTTATTGTGATTACTGATGTGCTTGGTTCTATTTCTGTCATCTTATTTTGTGCCTTCTATTTATTCTGTCTTTTAGGCGATGTTTTTCTACTCCTTTGTTGCCTTCTTTTGGTTTAATTGAGTTTTCTTTATTCTTCTTCCCACCAAATCTCACACTGGTTTGGCAGTTATATATTCTGTTTTATTCTTTGTGGCTATCCTTATAATTTTAATGTGCATATTTGACCAAGGTCTGAAGCTGACAACTTTTTCTACACTCTCCCTGAACAATGCAAAGACCTTAGGACACTTGATTTTGATGATCTCTTCCTTTCTTTTTCTTTTATTAGCAACGAAAATTTATTTTCTCACAATTTTGGAGGATAGAAATCTGATCAAAGCATCAACTGGGGTGATTTCTCCCATTCAGTGATTTTTATTTTCATATTTTTTATGTTGTTCAAAGAACAAAACATTTTAAATTTGATGAGGCATAATTCACCAATTTTTCTCTTGATTGTGCATTTGGTATACAATTTAAGAAATTTTTGCTTAATGCAAGATCACAAAAAATTATTTTAATATTTCTCCTAAGAATTTTGTAGTTTAACATTTACATTTAGGTATATGAACCATTTTGAATGTTTGTATGCTTGTGTGTGTGTGTGTGTGTGTGTGTGTGTGTGTGTGTGTGTGTGTGAAAGAGAGAGAGAGCAAGAGAGAGAGAGAGAGAGATTTGAGAGTTAGGTGTCCAGTTTCATCTTTTTGCATGTGAATATCCAATTTTCCCAGCATTATTTGTTGAAAAGACTTTTCTTTCCTCTTTGAAATTTCTTGGCCCTTCTGTCAAAATCAATTTGCCATGAATGTATGTGTTTATTAATGAGCCTTAAAATCTATTCCAATCAGGTGTGGTGGCTCAAGTTTGTAATCCCAGCACTTTGACAGGCTGAGACAGGAGAATTGCTTGAGCCCAGGAGCTTGAGAACAGCTTGGGTAACATAGTGAGACCTCGTGTCTACAAAAAATTTAAAAATTAGTCAGGCATGGTGGTAGCATGTAGTCCCAGACACTTGGGAGACTGAGGTAGAAGGATTGCCGGATCCCAGAAAGTCAAGGCTGTGGTAGCTGTGAACATGCCACTGCACATCAGCTTGGACAACAGAGTGAGACCCTTAACTAAAAAAAAAAGTCTATTCCATTGGTCTACATTAGTCTATCATTATGTGATTTCTACATGCTTTGATTACTACAACTTTGTAGTAAAGATTGATTTTGCTAAGCTGAAATAATAGGATTTTGTTACTCCTTTTATTATTTATTTTTATTTATTTTTTGAGTTGGAATCTTACTCTGTTACCCAGTCCTCTCTTGCCTTGGCCTCCCAAAGGACTGAGATTATAGGCATGAGTCACCATGCTTGGCCTTGTTACCTTTTTTTTTTTTTTTTTTTAGTTGGAGTCTCACTCTGTCACCCAGGCCGGAGTGCAATGTCATGCTCATGGCCACTGCAGCCTCGACCTGTTGGCCTCAAATGATCCTTCCCTTCAGCCTTCCAAGTAGCTGGAACTACAGGCGTGTACTACCACGCCCAGCTTATTTTTTGATTTATTGTAGAGACTAGGTCTCACCAAGTTGCTCAGGCTGGTCTTGAACCCCTGAGCTCAGACAATCCTCTCACCTCAGCCTCCCTAAGTGCTAGGATTATAGGCTTGTCCTCTTGTTACTCTTTTTAAAGGTTGCTTTATGTTTTGTGTTTCCTTTTCACATACATATGGATTTGGTTGAAGCATGTTGATTTCTGTAAAAAATGTAGTTGGGAATTTGAAGGGATTGCACTGTATCTGTAGATCAATTTATGGGATTTAAAAAAAAAACAACATTATGTATTATTATCCTTGAGCATTAGATGTATTTCCAATTATTCATTTCTTCTTTGATTTCTTTTACTTTTACTTTTTATTGTAAATTGACAAATTATAGCGGTATATATTTATGGGGTTTCAAAGTGATGTTATGATTTAGGAATACCATGTGGCATAATTAAATCAAGCTACTTGACTTTTCTATCACCTCAAATACTTAAATGATCTTAGGACATTTTAATTTTAATGACCGCTTCCCTTCTTATATGTACTTGTTGCCTTGTATTTCAGTTCTACCTTTCAAGTTCTCAAATTAGTCTTTATTGCTG